GCTCTGTCACTGTATGAAAAATTATCATCACTAAGTCGCATTTTTTACTCATGTAATTTTACTCATTTATCTTTTAAAATTTACTCCAAGATAAAATTTAGAAAATCGTTTCTAATGAATTTCTAAAATGTACACTAGAGTTTGAAAAAAATAACTAGCATTCAATGTAGCTAGAAGCGTCAAGCATAAATTTATAAATAACAGTTAATACGATACTGAATGATTAAATGAGTTCATCAGTGCCTATCTGTTCAATCCATTTAGGAAACATGTTGGAAAGCTTATTTTTTTGTAAAATTGTATAAATAGTAAAACTCTTTCAACGTTTACAATAACATCCATAATAATAGCACCAATAATTAATAATATTCATTTATAATATTTAAAATAATATGAATAAAAATTAGCATTGATTACGATAATTTTTCCAGATATGGTGACAAAAATTAAACCAAAATCAGAAATTAAAATCATTATAAATCAAGACTTCTACAATTAACTGAAATACCATCACAGGGTTCAAATACCGTAACAATCCTGCAAAAAATATTTATTTTAAAAATTTTAATAATTATTCCGAAGAAAAAAAAAGTATTACAGTTTGATAATGCCGTGTAATCAAATCCTAATTCAATGACAGATTTGTCATTTTAAATATAAAAGTTTAAAAAATTGAGATACATGAGCCATATTCCTTATAAACGTGATTTGATAGTTTTCAAGCCAGTAGGTGTTTTGGTTAGTTCGGCTCATACATTCATTTCCTCAGCAGAGGGAAAAATTAATTTGGCAAGGTCAAAATAAATAAGAGCAGACCAAGCAGCAGCAAAACATCAATCAGCTCTTAAAATGAGACTACCAAAATTGACCAGCTCTAATTGCGGACCAATTATTTTGACCTTAATCAACGAGTTCTTCTCAGATTGATTTTAATTTAATTGGTTAAAGAAATGTTTATTGCTGTAGGTGAAGGATCTTTTGAGAGTGTCTTTTTTGGATCGTTATAAGATCACTATTGTCACATTTGTTATTGTTATTATTACAACCATTGTTAATGTCAGAAATCATTATTTTCGGCTTTAAAACATTGTGGATACTAACACCAATGACAATATTACTTGAAAAAGTTTGTACACTATCGTATCGCAGTAGTAAATTCGTTTTCATGTCTGACAATAATAAG